ATTTATAAATTAATAAATCAATTATAAAAAATAAATATAAATATATATCTTAAAATAAAAAATTTATATTAATTTATAATCCACTATAATACACTAATCCCTAACTCATTATAATACTGACCTATTATAGCCCAAACTATCATATCAACAACTCATAGGAATACCATCTCATTATAATACCAACCTATTATAATGCTAATCTATCATAGTACAAATTCATTATAATATAAACTTATTGTAATACTAACTAATATAGTCAGAGATTTTTCAAAGTTGTGTAATGCAAATTATTTCATTTTTGGTAAAGATCTGCAATTCTGTAATACAATTTTTGGCCAAATTTTGGCCAAATTATTGACTGCATTGTTACACTTTTGTTATTTAGTGCAAAACTACTTTATAAAGCCTCAGAAATCCCCAGGGATTCCTAAACTATATAGTCTTAGGATACTTTTTGTAAAAAAAATTTAAAGGATTTTTTAAAACTGATAGTTATTTTTAGATAATAAAAAATGCCTTTGTTTTTTCAATTGAAATCAGGTTTTAGAATACCCTTCTAATATAACACCAATCTATCATAGCACGAGCCTGTTACCCATTATAGCACCAACCTATCATAATACTGATATAATCTGTGAACAAGTTCTATATTAAGATATAAAGTAGATAATACAGGTGACCCTCATTAATATCAACCCATTTGAACCTGTTCAAAATTATGTTGATAGTGATATTAACAAAAATTCATATTAAAGTTGATATATACGAGGGAATTTTGATATATAAAAATTTGTAAAAACTTGATTTGTGGCTTAAGTTGATATTAACGTAGGTTGATATTATCGGGGGTCACCTGTACCAAGAAAATATTATCAAATCATCTGTGATTTAGTTATAACAACCTGAGTAGAAGTAAGTAAACTTGTTTATCCATAGATCTAATTATCAAATTCATAAAATACTAATATATATTCATTGGTTGCAGCATTATGAGTTAATCCATCAACATTTTTACTTTCTAATTGATTCATTAATTGTACATGATTATAAACCTATAAATATAAATATAAAAATATATAAAATATTAATATGAGTTGACATTAAAATTGTTCCACCTTTGTCACGAATATTTTTCAAATTGTTAAATAAATCCTGATAAAAACTTGGGTCCAGACTATTAAAAGATTCATTCAGTAAATATACTCATAGCCAGTAAAGGCTCAATATAAAACTTAAAGAATTTTTTTCTAACTAGTTGATAAACATTATAAGCTATACATAGTAAATAATATTAAATATTTAAAGGTCCAAAACAAATTAATAATTAAATTGACAATTACTTAGATATTATTATTAAATTTTTTAATATTTCATATACTATCTAACTAGAGTGCTAAATATACCAAACTAAATCTCCTTTTTCAATTATTTTCACATTTGGTAATCTATCAAATAGAATCTATCTTCATGTATATTGGCTCTAAGTTAAATGTTTTCATCTAATCATTAATATCCTTATTCCTAATCGTACACCTTATTGTCATATTAGAGTCATACATAATATAAAAATATATAGAACATTAATAAACATTACAAGCTATGTATTGTAAATATTATTAAATATTTAAAGTTCTAAAACAAATTAATAATTTAATCAAAAGTTACTTAGATATTATTATTAAATTTCTTAATATTTCATATGCTATCTAACCAGAGTACTGAATATACTGAGCCAAATCTCCCTTTTTGATTATTTTCATACCTGATAATCTATTAAATAGAATCTATCTTCATGTATATCAGCTCTAAGTTGGAATATTTTCATGCAATCGTCAATATCCTTATTTCTAATCATACACCTTATTGTCATGTCAGAGTCACATATTAGACACAATACTTTATTCGTGTTATCTTTATTATTATGAGCACATTTTCCATATTCAGATTTTTTATATAATGTAGTTTTTATTTTGTATCTGTGTTTTTAAAGTTTAGATCGAATATAAATAATTTTAATATTTATTGACTAAATTAATACGAATAAAATGATTTATATGTAATGATAAATACATTGTAAGTATTAAGTTCTTTTTTTGCTGTTTTTATTGATGAAAATCAAGTAAATACAATTAAACAAAATACTTACTTGAAATTTTGAGCTACTTTCAGATTTTTTCTAAAAAAAGGATCTAGAAAAAAGATTTTTTGGTAAGTTAGAATATCAATAAACTTCTACTTATCAGCATATATAATATTTTACTTATTACAGACCTACCTCTTAACACATGATTCAAGTGTGATTCAGCATGATTCAATGTAGAGGCATTTGCTACGAAGGTATTTAATTAGTGAAATAGTATGCCAATGCTTGTTTTTTTTGTAAGTTTGATTATATGTAAAATTTTTGATTTTACAGTACCATGTTATATAAATACTTGTGTAATGATGATCCTGGAATTTATTGGATTCGAATGTCCCCCATGCTGACCTTTACTTAGTAAAACTTTCTTTAATTTTTAAAAGATTGTTTTAGCCAATCATATTATTATTTTAAATAAATCAGTCATTTGACTTAAAGAACATAAAGAAGAATTGAACAATTTTAGCTCAAGATCCTTTTAAAACTACTTGATATATAGCTTTATAATTTTTGTTAAAGAAGCATCAAATATTAAAGAATATAAGTTCCATATTTAAAATTATATTTTATATTTATTTTTTTGAGTAAATTAAAAAAAAATATTTTTTTTGACAAATTTTACATATAAATTTGGGTAATTCAACTCATTTGATTTATATTAAACAACAACCAAGGGAATATGTCTTGTGTCTGCTAATAAATAATTTTAAACCGATTTATGCTATAATTAAAATTAGAACTTGAAAAAGGCTTTACATTTGCGAAAGATTTTAGGAAGTTTAAATTTTAAAAAAATAAAATGTATATTAACTTAATATGAGGCATTTAAAGCCAATCAAGAGGACCATTAGAAGTTAAATATATTTAAAAGTCAAGTCAGTTCGATTAATGAGCTAAAGGTTTACTTTTTTGGAGTAACTATCATATATGCAATTTTTACAATGTTGCACTTCATACATTCCGACTTGAATGACCCAAAAATGACTTCATTAAGATTTACATTAACTGAACCATGCTCGCAATTTGTAGAACAATCAACAAGTTGGTTCACCAATATTATTTGATTTCCATAGACTCTGCCTTGTTCGTAGGAGTTCGCCAAAAAGGAGGAAAGAATGTTTTTCTCATTTCCGGGGAAAATATTCTTATCACATGGATCCTCACATCCATAAAACATATTTGGTTGTTTATGGCTCTGACGCCATTTAACGATTGTTTGACCAAATTCGAAAGTTTTGTGAGAATTGTTTACATCAACAGTGCTATTAAAAATAATTAGCACCGTTAATTGAAAATATTTGGGCTAATAATAAATAAATAAATATCTTTTTTCTTACCAAAAATATAAAGATAAATTTTGCAAAATATTTTCATCTACACAATTCATTTCACTATCATGATTATAAGCAAACAAACAAACAGAATGAATAGAAGGTGAAACATGTGCGCCAATAATTATTTGCTTTGAACTTTCATTTTCTGAAGTTAATTTTAATACACATGTGCTTAAGATACAAGTTTCTTTAAGTTTTTGTTCATGAAGTTTTGGAATTTTATCAAAGGAAATCCGTATACGATTATTCTCCATTTTAAGATTTGAGAGTGTATAACTTCTAAGAATTACTGGATAAGAAGATTCTGTCAAATCGAAATCGAAATTCTTTGGTTGACCAACAATAATCCAACCAAGTTTAAATGAAAATGTATTTTTTTTTTGTCTAAAAAATGAAAGTTTCTTTTTATATTTATGTTGGATTAGATGAACAACGATTATGGGGGTATATTCGTCTTCATACTCAACGCGCAAAGATAATGCAGTCTTGGCGTTCTCATTCATGATTGATGCAAAAATATGGCATTTATGGATGTCTTCTACTTTTGTTAGTTTTGTTTCCAACGGATAAATAAATGGTGTTGCGAAATCATATTCAATGATGTCACTAACGCCTGCTGATAATATTCGTTGACCCAAAATATCTAAAATTTCTTTCCGTAAGTCGGAATAGTCATTTTCCAGAAGATCAAAAATCAAATAAATCTCATCATATGCAATTATATCCCATTTAGCATAATTGCTTAAATCATCATTGCCAATAACTAGACTTTTACTTTTCGAAAATTTATTATCACAACGATTCCTTCTATTATTCTCAGTTCTAACAGTAGTACTTGCATTAACATGCAAACCAGATTCGATTCCGGCCGTAACTTCAGTTACATTTGTTTTTGAACTTTCACCTGATGATAATAACAATTGCTTTTAAATAATAAATCTCTGATTTATCGACAAGTAATGATATACTTACTTGAACTATTCTCAGAAATTATTTCATTGATTTCAGCTTTACCAAAAACAAGACGACATGTATAAAAACTACCATATGTTTCTGTTAATTTCAGAAGTGCATTTAATTTTTCATCATTTGTACCCTTACTTAATGCGGTTTTTACATCTGAAATAAATTTCTCAGTTGGTTTAATGCATGATTTGGGAATTTTGACTTCTGCTCTTTCCCATTTTTTACATGAATATTTAACGAATGTTTCAAAACGTACAAGTTTTTGCTCAACGTTATTATGTGATACTCCTAGAAAAACAGAAAGCCAAGATAAGCCAGCTTTAAACTTTCCGTCTAATATAAAATTTGTGCTGCAAAAAATCTCCAATTCATTGCTACATTCTATTTCGAATGAAGAAAAATGTTCAGTTAGATTAATTTCATATTTATCAACCTCAAATGCATTAATATCAGCTTTTTTAGGTTTATCTCCATTGAATATAAACCCCCGTTTACATTTATTAAATAATTGAGTCAGCGTTTCGCCCTCAGATGGTTTATTGTCAAAAAATTTTCGATATATAAAATCCATATTAATTTGTTGGTTTAAATTTTTTTGTCGAATTTAACACATTGCATGGTTATACAGCAGTTACGTATTAACAGTGTACGATCATTTCCCCAACTACTAAGATTTGCCCGATTTAGGTTAGCGTTAACCAAATTTAGTTGGCATTCGGAGAATAAAATCCGTACAATGTACAGTACGTACGTATAAATTTCACAGTTTATATATCGAATACACGATGCTACTTGAATAGTCAATTCATAAAATCATGTCGGACCAAATTTTAAGTCATGGCCTGTTAATTAACAAACGAGGAATTCAACTTGCAGATTTGCCAATATGCGATTTTGAAATTCAAACTGAAACTATAGAAAAATCTCAAATAAAGCTAATGTTTTCTACAAAACGTCTAGATTCATTCTTATTGAAAAATCATATAGATCCTTCAGTAATAAATTCTGAACATGATAATTGGATTTTTGATACTGTTTTCAATGAAAATTTTTTACCAGAAAATTTACCAGTTTATATAGGAATTTTATGCTCACGAGCAGAGTTGGTTTTCGAAAATAAAAAAATCAAACCATCCGATGAACTAAATAATGCAATGAAACAGGCGCTGAAACATAACAATCCCTACCACGAAATAATCAATGTATTTAAAGACTATGGATATTTTTTGCCTAAAAAGGTCATTCTTGGTCATAAATTATACAGAATAACTTATTTAATTGCAAGGGAAGATTCACCACTAGAACCACACTTTCTTAGATCAGAATGGACACATTTTAATGATTCTACATTATTTGAACATAACGACATTTTGGATCAATGGGAAGATCTTATAAAATTACATAATTTTGATACGTCCTTTTTAACATCAATTAATGGTGAGGATGTTATGAAAGATAGATTAAAAGATTGGGCGGCATCTTGCTTAAAAAGTGATCTTAATTCATTACAAATAATCAGTTGGGAAAAATTATATCCATTATATGAAATATTTGATGAGCCGCTTAATAAAGAGATAAAGTTTATACTTGGATCTGATGATCAAACAAAAAAATTTGGGGTCAAAGAAAGAGTGCTTCTTGCAGGAGAAATTCCAATCAAAAACTCTACATACCATTATCGTGTAAAATATTCCGATCACCTAAATTCCAGTAATTATAAAATTTTTGGAAAACTTGTAACTCAAGATTATAAGCAAATTAATGTGGCAATTAAGTTTCAATCTATGAATCGATTTGGGTTCACCATAATAATTGAAAACCTCGATTTAGCAGAGTAAGCTTTGTTTCATTATTTTAATTTTTAGTACTCATTTGTATGATATCTTATCTATTTTCATATTTTTAACAGGCATACAGATTTGAAAATAATTTGGATATTGATTGGATTACCTTCTGAGATCGGATTTTATAGCCCAAATACACGAAACATTAATGTATCGGCGTTGGATAGTTGCTCATTTGCATATGATAAAATTTTGTCATTGCAAGTTCCTAAAAATCTGCCGATAAACTCAATTATGTGTACAAATCTTACATATCCACCATCAGATAAAGCGAATTTCAAAGTTAAAATCCAAACCTATTGTGATAATAAAGTCAATATATTAATAAAAAAGGATATTAAAAACATTTATTATGATAAGAATGAAGGCGGAATATCCAAAGGAAATCAAGATGCACAATATTTGCTCCAATGGTGTATTATTTTTTTTCCGGAAAATGATAAAATCAATATCAATTCTGATTCAATTGGTGCATCAATTTGCTTAAATGCGATAGGCCAACCCATTTATACCGCACCTGAAGAAGATCTCAGGTACGTACATTGTGTTAAATAATAAATACTTGTTTTCATGTACAAAGTCAATATTTCTATAAATCATTCACTAACCTTCTAAACTAACGATCTGAATGTGATTTTAGTTCAATGGAAGGAGATTTAGGATTAATAACTTCGTACAATGATTTGATTTTACCGACTGCATGGGATATTGAATACAAATCACCATTTATTGACATAGATTCAAGTGGACTTAAATTGAATTATACATGTAAGATGAAAATGAGAAATCTCGCAGAACATATTTAATTTCTACTATAATCATCGGCATTTAAAAGGATCATCATAGCTTTTTAATTTACTAAAAATCTTTAACTAAAGACCCTGATGATTTTAAAGCTGTTATAGTTCGAGCAAATCATCCAATTCCTTCACAGTGTGGGATATTTTACTTTGAAATTCAAATTATAAATGAAGGAAAAAATGGGTAATTAATAATTATTTCGTGTCGTAAACATTACCTTTGTTCTTATAATCTTTCTTTTAATTCTATTTCTTGATAGAATGATTGGAATCGGATGTTGTACGAAGCAAAGAGACAAAAAAATAACGATGGATGATTTAGACTATATAAATGATATGCTCTTGCCCGGTAATAGCAAATTTTTATTTGATGTTTTATTATTTTAGATTAAACGTCTATAAAATATCCTTTAGGACAAGAATATAAGGAAAATGAAGGCAACAAGAAAAATGAAGGAAATAAGGAAAATGAATCATGGGGATGTGGCTACCATGGTGACGATGGATATTTTTTTTGTTCTGGAAGCTGCGAGCCATACGGAATGCCAGATGGAATGCCATATGCTACTGGTGATACAGTTGGATGCTACTTAAATTTTAGAAATAAAATGGTATTTTATACTAAAAATGGTGTAAACCTAGGTAAATTCATCGCTATATTGTTTCTTTTTAATTAATTAATTGATCAATTAGATTTAATATTTGCTTTATTTCAAGGAATTGCATGCTATTTACCTGATGGTTCAAAAAATAATTTGTATCCTTGCATTGGACTAAGATCACAAGATGCATCTATAGAAGCAAATTTTGGTCATAAGAAGTTTGAATATTTAGGTAAATTTTTTAGCATTTGAAATATTATTTTTACACATATTCACAATTTTATTAATACCTTTTATCTCTATGAATAGCAATGGCTAACGATAATCTTAGTAAAAAATTATTGTTATGGGAAAAAAATCGAATAAATTTTAAAACTTTTGATCTATATTTAGATGAATTAAACAAATCATTAGAAAAGAAGCAGAGCAATGTACTTGAATTAAGCAATCAAGAAAAAATATTTTTCCTTATAGGCGAATGTGATAAAACGTCTGAAGATTTAACTAAACTGCTAAAAAATGAACCAAATAATATGATAGCACTAAGATATCGAGGTGAAATTTATTATATTATGGGAGAATATGATAAAGCGCTTGAAGATTTAACTAAATTGCTAGAAAATGAACCAGATAACATAATAGCACTAAGATATCGAGGAGAAATTTATTATATGATGAAAAAATATAATGAATCAATTGCTGACTTAAAGAAATTATTAAAAATTAGGTCTGATGATGAATGGGCAACAAAAGCCAAAAACTTAGCTGAAATGTTGTAAGTACAATGTGCATTTGTAAATTTAAGGTTTAATTATCACAAACAAATAACAGCTCAACCACATACTTGTGATACCGCAATAGTTTGTAAGTTTGTAAAAAAAAATTGTTTACAGTAAAACATGATAGAAATCAATAGAAATCACGACTGTTAATTCCAATACAAACTAACTCAACCTTAACCACCCAATGTGTGTTACCGCAATAGTCAGTAAGTTTTGTAACATAATTTTTTACAGTAAAACATGATAGAAATCACGACTGTTAATTCCAATACAAACTAACTCAACCTTAACCACCCACTGTGTGTTACCGCAATAGTCGGTAAGTTTTGTAACATAATTTTTTACAGTAAAACATGATAGAAATCACGACTGTTAATTCCAATACAAACTAACTCA